AGTCAAATACAAAAATTAGATGTTGTGTTCCTGGAGCACTTCCTGTGTGTTCATTGGTGGGGAAGAGAGATGGTAGGAGACAGAAAAATTACCATAAAACTTGGAGATCCATCATGCAGATGGCCTGTGCATGCAGGTTTTCAGAGTGTCTGCAAACAGAACCTGGGATGGCTAGTGCCAGTTTGCTCTTAGTTGGTTTTTTGACTCAAGCTGAATTTCTTATGTGGTGGTGTATTATCTTTTTTTTATCTGTCAGTAAATTATGGGACGGAGGCTGTATTTTCCAGAAGACTGTGAATGAGGAGTAAGGAAAGAGGCAGTGAATGAAGAAATGATTATTTGTTGACATACATTTTTATGTGTATGATTTATTTGTGAGTTGTGCTGAGAGGTGATATTCCTGTCTCACAAGGCACACGCCTGTCCTGCCTCTCCTTAGAGAGATGCTGTGTGTGTACACGCGGTTCTTTTACTTTGTAAATATACATGTACACCAACGGTGTAAAATTTCACCCTAGTCAGGTTTTCAACTCAGTCTTTCCCCAGCCCGGTGTTGTCTTGAGTTTGTTGTATGTGTGTCATTAGGAATAGTACCAATAATGAGGTGTCAGAAAGCAGAAGGATAATAACTGTGGCCTAAACATGGTTTGGAGAAAGGACTGCATGGACTTCTTCATGCCAGCCTGCTGACACATCCACTCCTGACAGGAAAGTCCTGTTTTTCTAGTCTTTGATCTCACAAGCCAAAATACCCGTCCAGTTTGGTTATGACTTTCAGTTCTGCATCATTTGTTCCTTGATTAAGGGCCTGGATGCCTCTTCTCTTCTCTGGTATGCAAGGTTTATTTTCATAGGTGCTTGTAGATAGATAGAGACGATGTTTATGTAAGATATCTGCCTGTTCTGACCTATAGATTAAGACTCCTTTGTCTGACAAATGCCAGGCACTAGAGGGACAGAATGTTGGAATTTGGGTCTCTGTAAAATGTATGATGCATGGTCCCAAGAGGTGCCCCAGTTTTCCATCACTGCTAAGAACTTCATAGATTACTTTGGCAAAATAAGCATGTCCGAGGATGCAAGGTACTTGGGTCTCGCTCTACCTGGTTAACTTGTGCTGAGGGTCAGCACATCGCAGACTTCCCTACATGCCTGTGGATACAACAGTTTCTCCTTCCCTGTCTCAGAGGAGTTGTTTGAGAATTAGCCAAGTGTTGATAGATGTGAACGGGGTTCTGGGGAAATGAGAGCCCGTGAGTGCTAACTGGGTGGGGAGACTGCTGAAGGAGTGTGGCCCATATGAATGGGACTCACTGGTTATCACAGTTATCCATCGGTTTCTCTGGGGCAGTGGCTCTAAACTTCGGCAGTACCAGAATGACCTGCAGGGCTTGTTAAAACAGAGATTGCTGGGCCCTGCCCTCAGAGTTTCTGATTTAGTGATCTGTGGTGGGACTCGAGATTCTGTGTTTCCAACAAGTTCTCCGGTGCTGCTGGTTCTGCTGGCCCAGGGACCCCTTTGAAAATCCAAGCAGTGGTTCAGTAGGCAAAAGACTGAGTCTTGACCAGCCCCAAGTCCACTCTGATTTGGGGAAGAACCAGAGAATTCTGGTTATCACTAGGTTATCATAACCCCCATATTTTATATAGCATTTCCACGTTTGTAAGTCACTTTAATATTCTCTGCTTCCCACAACAAAACAACCCTGTGAGGTAGGCGGGACAAGTATTGACTTCGTTGTACTACAGTTGGGGAAAACCAGACTGAGGACCTCAGGTAGGCGAGTGACTGACCCGAGGGGCAATTGAGACCTGAGACTTACTTCTAGATCTTCTGACTGTAGCTTTAGTGTTCCTTCTATGTTGCCTTTAAAGCTAGTGAATGCTCTGATGATGCTTAAGGTTTGTTTTAGTCACCTCCCAACACAAAAACAGGTTTTTGTTTTAGAACAGTTAGAGAATTACAGAAAAGTTGTGAAAATAGTACAGAGAGTTCCCTTATGCCCCACACTCAGTTTCCCCTATTAAGATCTTACATTAGCATGGTATGTTTGTCACAATTAATGGACCAATACTGATATATTATTGTTAACTAAAGGCTATTCTTTACTCAGATTCCCTTAGTTTTTGCCAGGTGTCCCTTTTCTGTTCCAGGATCCCATCCACAGTTCCACATGTCTAGTCATCGTGTCTCATCGGGCTCCCCTTGCTGTCACGGTTTCTCAGGCTTTCTCTGATTTTGATGACCTTGACTGCTTGAGGGCTTTGTAGAATGTCCCTCAATTGGGATTTACCGGATGTTTTTCTCATGGTTGGACTAGGGTTATGTTTTTGGGAGGAAGACTGCAGAGGTAAAGTGCCGTTCTTATCACATTGGATCAAGGGAACATACTATCAACATGATTTATCACTGTTCATGTTGACCTTGACCACCTGGCTGAGGTGGTGTTTGTCAGTTTCTCCATTCATTTATCTATTCAATCAGTCAATCATATTTACATCAATATGGGTTCATGGACATTTATTTGATGCTTTGGGTTATAATCCAATAGTACCTTATTTCCTTTGTTGCTCACTTTGTTCCAGCTTTGACAGGTAGGAGCTCTTTCAGTTAGCTCTTGTGTCTCTTTGACACAAGCCCATCATGGTGGATTTTTTGAGTGCACCCTTACCTTCTGGCACTACAAGATGCTCTAGGCTCATCTTGTCTATTTCTTGTCCCAGCCCTAGAATCATTTTGTTTTTAATGTTGATCTCAATCCATTAAATTGATTTCACCATCCACTACCTGAGTCACCAACCATAGTGAAAAACAGTGATCCATTTCCACCTATCATGTGTTAAAGATAAGGAAATTGGCACCTTGAAAGGTGAAATGGCTTATCCAAGGTCATGCATAGTTCACAGCAAAGCCAGGGCCAGGACCCGGTCCTCTGGACTTCTAGTCCTTTGCCTTTTCTAACAATTTATGCTGGCAAATTCTGCCATACAGAAGCTAGTTTAACATACTCCCGCCTCACCCACGTCCTTGTGTGGAAGCAGTCAGATGTGAACTCAACTGGACGTGCTGCTGTCTCCCCAGGGCAGATATCAGCAAAAGGGGCAAGGAGTCCTGGGCAGATTCCCTGTGGAGACTGCTGTGGCAGGTCTGTGCTTTCAGTCAGAATGGGGTTCCGTACGGTAAGCTGGTTCCAAACTCTCAGAATGTGACTGCTGATGTCAGCACTTTGGAGCTGAGGTTAGACCACATGTCTGGCCTCTGTTTTGTGGGAAAGGAGGGGCAGAAGGAAGGCTTGTAGAATCCACACACTCTTTATTTGGGTTCACCTCCTTTCCCTGGGGGAGGCAGAAAGAAGTCAATTCAAGTAGCAGAAGCCTCAAATTTCACTTCGTCCTATCAACTCCCCAGACCCACAAAGATGGAGCTGAACAGACAGGATTTTGCTGTTCTAAAGGCCCAACCAACCTAGTATTAGGTCTGGTGTGAATAATCATTTACACCAAGAAGCTTGTTTTCCTTTGTGGGAAGAGATAATTCACTCATCAAAAGGTTCCTAAGATTCAGGGAATAATAAAGAACAAGCTGATTTCGTATCCATTTCTTAGAATGTTTCATTTCAAAAGGTATTTTTTGATTTTTTAACAATTGAGAGTGGATGCTCTGGCTGAAGAGTTATTCCTGTAAAGGGGTTTAAAGGAATAAGGTAGTAGTGATGTATTAGGACATTTTGTTTGCAGGTAACAGAAACCCATCGAGCTTAAGAACAGTTTAAAAGAAAATTTATTGACTTAAGTTGCTAAAAAGTCCAAGAATAGGGTGAGCTTCAGGCGTGGCTGGATCTAGGAGCTCAGCCCGTGTCTTCAGGGCCCTGGTTCTGGCTTCATTCTCAGGCATGCTTTTTCTACATGAGTACCTCTTAGCAGCTGTAGACTTACTTCCTACATGCTAAGCACTTCTATTAGTTCTGCAGATGGCTGTTGCTTCTGATTGTCCCTGCCTTCGGTCATGCCCCTAATCCTGAACCAGTGACTGACAGAGTTATGAGGGCTATTACTGGCTAGACGTAGGTCAGGTGTTCCCTATGGAACCAGGGGAAGGGATGGTTCCTCCAAGTAATATTGAGGTGCTGGTACCAGAAGGGGGAGTTGGTTAGATAGATGAAAATAGTGGCTGTCCATACAGTGTTGTGAGCACTCAGGGTAAGTGCTTGATGAATGAGTAAATGCTCAACTCTGATGCTATCTAGACATTTGCTTATTTAGTCCCTTCTTAACCTACTCATTTATTTTGTGGACTCCTGAGTTCTAGAGAGATCTCCTAGTCATTTCTTGATTAATGTACTCACCTCACTGCCACCTCTTGTTAGGCCCTCAGCAAGTACTCTTCTTGTTGTTCTTCATTGCTAATTTCAAGGCTAATTTCAACTAGTCTTGGTTACATGATGATGATCCTCTCTTTGAACCTGTTTAACTGGGTCAGTGTTAGATAATTCATGATTGGTTTTGGCTGAATGGTCAGCATAGATGCCTTCCATAAATCTGCTTTGCTGTTGGAGGAAGGAAGGTAACTTCTAATCTTGTGTTTTCCCTTGATACCATTCCTAGCTCAGATCCTTACCAGTTAATTCTAAGCCTTCTTTCTGTAAGGGGAAAACATTTTTTCTTTTTATCATTACATGAGCCAAAAATTATTAGTTCCAGATTTAAAAAAAATTCACTTGAAAGTTCAAGTCTCTTGCTTGTTTTCCTTGTTGCTCCTGCCTTCTGCAAATTTCACTGCTTCTTAGCCCCTTTGCCTGAAGGTGGACAAGATAAGATCAAGGGGTGTAATTAAAACCTTGGCAGCATCTCATCTTTTTTTTTTGGTTTCTTTCTGGAGGGGCTACCTACTTGGCAATGTTTCTGTGAAAAACCAGTTTTGTACATTGGCCAATGTGAACTGTGGTGGATTATCTGTGAATTTCAGTTAATTATTTATTTGGAATCTCCCTTTACAACAGGAAGTTGAAAGCTGACTGCAAAGTCACCTCTCTCTGGTCGTTGCCTAGACTTCAGATCTTTTCCTTTTGCCGTTTCCTTGAGTCCTATTGAGATCAACTTAAAAATGGATTAATGCCAAGTTCAGAAGAGGGTAAGTGTTGGGTTCTGTTCATCAGTCTTGGAGTTCCTGTTATATCTGTATTTCACAGCCAAAGAGAAAAGATTTTTGGAAATCTGTCTCTTTTAGCACAGATAATTGAGTTTACTATTTATTGATTTTATTTTGTCCATTTTCTCTGTTTATATGAAGCACTGCTTGACTAGTTCAGCACCATCAATTTTTTTTTTTTTTTAATCTCTGAAGTATTTGTATCTGGGCTATGGTTAAGAGTCACAAAAACCATTTTGATTAGGTTTCTCATTCATTTAAACACTACACAAGCAGGGCGTGCCTTTGTATTATGAGAATATTTTTAGAAGACAAATGAGGTAGAATTTTGTGTCCCTTGCTTTCCCTCTGTTCAGACACCTGTATTTGCCATTAATTACTCCTCCCATGCACTCTCTCTTTCTTTGTCTGTTGTGTAGTGTTTTAAAATAATATTGAGAGGGAAGCTGGGTGCTGAGGCACATATCTGCATGGGAATAAATAGTTGTTTTTTTCTTGGTAGCTCAACAGAGGGTTCATTTAAGAGTAATTGCTATTTTGGTACCATTTTTTTGTTTTGTTTTGTTTCATCTTTTTCTGCAGTCTTTGCCTGGTCCCTAGAGCTGATCTCCTCTGGTCACCTCATTTTCTTCTTAATCAAACAGTTCTGAATACCTCTTGTGGCTCCTGTATTGCAGTTAGAAACTCACAGTCTGTATTTCTAACTCAGTCTTTCATCCCATGTTAATCACGTGAATGTGTTGGATGTCATAGGGGATGCTAAGATGGAGAATTTGGTCTTAAACTTGAAGAAGCTCAAAGATATACAAGGCAGAGTGAAATGATGGTATTATGAAGCTCTAAAAATGTGCCCTGGGCACCTGGAGGAAAGATGGATTAAGCCCTATGAGAGGAATACAGGAACATTTCACAAATATTGAAATGCTTTTGAACTTAACTGTCAAAAAATTTTGTGAGTAGGGCTGGCCCCGTGGCCTAGTGGTTAAGTTTGGCATTCTCCTCTTTCAGGCCCGGGTTCAGATCCCAGGCGTGGTCCTATACCACTCCTTGGTGGCCATGCTATGGTGGTGACCCACATACAAAATAGGGGAAGATTGGCACAAATGTTAGCTCAGGGAGAATCTTTCTCAGCAAAAAAATAAATAAAATAAATAAAATTTGTGAATGGAGCTGGAAGGAAGGGGCACTTCCCAAAATGTGACCCATTTTGGGGAACAGCAATAGCTCACAGTGGCTGGATCATAGGATGTGCAGAGGGAGATGGAAGAAAGTTAAAGGGAGTGAAATAAATTTTCTCAAAATTCAAAGAGAGACTATCAATCAAAAAAAGACCCAAAAACTCATTAGGAAAAGCAAATTAAAACACATGGAGATGCTCATGGAAATATTTTTTCACAATCCTATTGACTGATATTTAATAACAGTGTTTCACAAGAGAATATATTGACAAGTGTTTGGAGAAATAGGCTCCATTTATGGCTAGAAGGAGAAGAAATTGCTATAAACCTTTATGGAGGCAATCTGGCAATCTATTTCAAAATTGCAAATGTGTATACTTTTTGACCCAGCAATTCCTTTTTAGAAATGTACCTTATAAATATGCTTATACATGAGCAAAAGGCTATAACAGTAAGAGATTGGAAATAACCTAAATGTGGGAGACAGTTAAATAAACCATGGTTCCTCCAATCAGTGGCTTCCCATGCAGCCAATGACAAGAATGGGGGAGCTCTCTCTATACGGATATTTCGATATGAGACACCCTCCAAGAGATGTTGTTAAATTGGGAAAAAGAAGGTGTCAAACAGTGAGTGGTACATTTAGCATTTATGTAAAAGTTAGGGGGAAATGCACATGTATCTGAAAAAATACATATGAAGTTGATTACGTTAGTTACTTCCTGAGAAGAGAATTAGGTGGTTGGTGGAAAGGAATGGGAGATTTTTACTGTACACCCTTTTGCAGCCTTTGAATTTTGAACCATGTGAATGTGTTACCTATTCAAAATAAGTAACATTGTCGTCACCTTCCCCCCGCCCCGAATAGAAAATGGAATCATAGAGGACTTTCAATTGCACTCTGACCATTGTATTTTTGTATAGTTTGTTACGGCTTATAAATTTTTTTCAAGTGCATTCCCTCTTTTATTCTTAAGATTAACCAACTGAGGGAGCAGTTTTTAGTTCTGTTTTACAAATGAGAAAGCTGAAACAGGTATTTAAGCAATTTGTACAAAATCTTTCAGTGGCTGATATTAGATTTGGGAACATCAAGTGTATTGTTTAAGAAGTAACTTCATTTACTAGAATTTTGTTAAAAGGATGAAAGGCAAAATTCTTGAGTGTTTTTAGGCGGAATGAATAAGTACTGAATAGTAGTAGTTGAAGCTTAGTGATCTGAGAAGTGTTTATTAGCAGTTTTTCTCTGGATGGTTCTCTGCATACACTACTGCCACGTGATCCAGCCTCAGTTGTTCAGTCTAGATGAGAGCTTGGTTTCAAACTATCACTGGTGAAAAGGTGGAAATTCATTAAGAAAGAGATGGTTGCAGATTTGATAAGTTTTTGCTTAATGCAGCTTGTGGATTTGTGTGTTTGGGGAGTCTAGAAGTGTCATTATTTTTTATTAATGGGAAGGATTTGTTTCTCACACACCTTAGTTGATGGTGGAAAATTTTTTCTTTTTGTGTCTGTTCTGCCATAATCTTGGCAAAGACCTTGTGAGTGGATTATGTTGCTTTGATAGGATTGGGCTCCTTCCTTTCAGAATATTCAATTCCTCTTTTATCAGAAGCGAAGGGCCTATTCAACTATAGAGACTGGAACTTTCTAGAATGGTTGGAATAACAGTTCTACCCACTTGGTCTTACTTGACTTTCACAGCACCAGGCAAGGCAGATAGGACATGCCTTATTCCAGTTATACTGACAAGCAGTTAGAACATTCTGTTGAGTGTTTAATTTTGGGAGAGTGGGGAGGGGGGCAAGGCATTGATAAGGAAGGAAAACAAAATGTGAAAGGGCGTGAAAGGATATGCCGACGATCTCACCTCTTTAGTTAGCGGAGCCAGTCATGAACCCAGGAACTTGAAATTCAGTAGAACAAGGAGAACCTATTTTAAAAAGGAATTTTAACACACCAGAACAAAGGAACTCCATGAGAAGAAAGCAACAGTTGAGGGGTAAAAGAATTAAGGGGAAAAAAAGCAATAATAGAGGAACAAAGCAAGATCTCTTCATTGAAAAATAAAATTTGATTATTAAAATGAAATTATACAAGTAGCTGAAAAACTGATGAGAAAACCACAAAATATAGAAAAAGGCTAGATTTACAAGGAAGAATATGAAGAATCCAAAAGTTTTAAGTCTAACAATGAGACCAACTTTATAACAGGAAAACCTCCCGTGCGAAACATGCATCGTGTGCACAAGACAAAGATAAAGGAAGATGCTCATTTGGTAGTTAAGAGAAGATGTGAAAAAGGCAACAGATATTCCGGGGCTTTCTCTTTCATTTCCTCATAGCAACAAAGACATGGAATGGGCAGGTGGGAGATAAAGCCAGAGTTGGGAATACTAATGAAAGATTTCTTTCTTTAATTAGCTATATTCTAATCTGAGTGGTCTGATGCTTTAGTTGGTAGAGTAATCTATCCATTGGCATCTTGTGCAGATATAGAAATATCTCGGAAGGACAGAAAAGGGCGCTGGTTAATTGGGAGCCCAGCTGGTGCCCTGGAGGCTGGGTCAGGAATCGCTCTGGGACAGGCTTTGCGCTGTTTCAGTCACACAGCATTTATTAAAGCCTTTACACTACTGAGTGGGTACCTGGATGATGGAAGTCAGCACTGAGTTCACATTAAGGTGTTGGCTCTGGGTCACTGTGATCCTGGGAGGGGTCAATCAGTATTCTCCGTGGAGATTGATTTCAAGGCCTGGTTGAAATGGACATCTTTATTAGTGTTCTGGATTATGAAGTGGAAATCACGCTGTTAGAGTTTGCAGGTGGTGCAGCCATTTGGTGAGTTGGAAGTAGCTGGGAGTTAGCCTGATCTCATAGCTACAAGTGCAGGGTTTTCTCAGCAGGGCCAAGAGTGAAAAAGATCTGTGAGGTCACAGTGACTAAGCTGCATAGGAGTGGGTGTGCTGAAGGAGCTTAATGATTGTAGTGTTGAAAAGCATTCATTCTGAAGATATTTATCAAATGCCTGTGAATGTGCCAGGCGCCTGTGTGTCCCGGGGATACAATAGTGTACAAGATCATGCCCTTGTGGAGCTTACATTATCAACAGATATTTGTGCCAGGTGATATTAAGTGCCATGGAGAGCGTTAAAGCAGGGCTAAGGGGTTAGAGAATAAATAAAAGGGACTGGGTGTTGCTATTTGATTTTACATAGAATGGCCAAAGGCCTCTCTGATAAGGTAACATTTGAGCAGAGACCTGAGGAGAGAGAGGAAGCACAGACTACACAGATGTCTGGGGGAACCAGTGGTCCAGGTGGAGGAAACAGGAAGTTCAAAGGCTCTGGGACAAGAGGGTGCTTAAGTGTTTGAAGAATAACAAGGAGCCCAGGGTAGGTTTGTGGAGTGAAGCGGAGAGAAGTAGCAGAGGAGATAAAAGAGGTATGGGGTGGGCTGAGATAATGTAGGGCATCTATGAAAAGAAATATAGAGTGTTTGTATATAAGCAGGGATCACAGGAGCCCGATTTAGGAGGTAGAATGCATATGAGAGACTGGATGTGAGAAGATAGTGGCAGAGTAATTAGATGGATGGTACTTGAGTAATGACGTGACCAGGAGCAGCTTTGTGAGAGGAAGTGTGTACAGATAGAGAAAAGAGGCATCCACTGGCATGTTCAGAATGAGAGTCTACTCCATGGAAAGAGCGTACTTGTCTAGAAGCATATTTAAACCAAGGGATGGGTGGGATGCCCCCAGGAGAGGATATACCATGGGAACATGACTGGGACAGAACATTGAGGTGTGTCCTGAAGGAAGAGAGGTTGGTGATGGAGATGACCCTCCCTCCCAGAGTGGTAGGAAGAGGACAGGAGCAAAGAGTGCCCCTGTGTTCCCCAGAGGTCACCAGAGCTGTCTTGAAGGCCAGAGCCGTGAAGGGACTTAGGGTGTCGAAGGCTTGACCTCGGCAGAGTTGGGACTCGAACATAGTGCTTTTGACTCCGAGGCAGTCCTTCCATTAAACTGAGAAACATGTGAGTGCCGAAAGAGGAAAATGCTTCTGAGAAAAGCAGGATATAGAATTATATATAGGCTATGAACCCAACAAGACAAATAAATTAGATAGGTGACTAGAAAAAATTTGGGGATAAAATACAACAAAAGTTTATAATAGTTATCACTAGATGATAGAATTACAGGTGATTATCAATGTGTGTTTTTAAATACTTTTCTATATTTTAAATTTCTAGATACCATGAACAGGTGTTACTTTTCTTAATCAGGGAAAAGAATGGACTTAACCTGTGCCTGGTGGGTTTTGTTTAGATAAGAATTTACTTTGTTGCAGATTTAGGTACTAAGGAAGATTGTGGTACCCATACTCTCTGCCTGCCCTCCTGTTACAGCGAGTCGCTTGTCCCTGCCCCTGTCTGAGACCGTCCACGTGTGCATGGGATCCCAACCTCTCTTGCTTATTCAAGGGCTTTGTCTGTGGATTTATCTCCTTCTCTTGCATTATCAATTTCTCCATCTCCTGGATTATTCCCATCAACCTCCAAATGTACCAAATATATTCTGAATCCAATCCCTTCTCATCAAGTCCTCCCTGATCTGAGCTACCATCATCTCACCTTTGGTCTACACTAGCATCCTAACTGGCCTCTTTGTTTCTCCTCTCCACTCCCACAGCCGGTCCTCCACCTGGCAGCCAGGGAAAGTCACTGGAATGCAAGCCCTGTGAGGGCAAGAACTCCATGTCTTGTCCACCATTGTATTCCCAACATACTGTAAGTGCTTAGTATATTTTTGCTGCTGGAATGAATGAATCCCTGAATGACATGGTGGCACCCAGTTGCATTATGGGAAAGGTTTAAGTGTTTTTTGCGTTATTAGTAGGGAACTAGTAAATTAAAGTGTTACTGGATGACTCTGCTGAAACAATGTATTAATTCAAGAATAATTTATGGGGAGCCTTTTATGTGCCAGACACTGTTCAAGTACTGGGGGTCTGTATAGCAGTGACAAAATAAAAACCCTATTTTCATGAAACTTCTAGTGACCAAGGGACATCATGGGTCTTTGAAGTCGTGATTATGGAGGGTGTGATTACATTTTCCTTATCTGCCCAATTGCTTTATCCTTTCACTCCATCCCAATCCAGCCCATTGGATGGGATAAATATCCCATCTCTAGTACTATCGGCAAGAACCCTTGGCCAGAGGAACTGCTTATTAGACCCCCGTATGATATTTCTTACGCTCTTTTAAAAATATCCTTTCAAAAATGTCTTCCACCCTTATAATTTCTAGGTAACATAGTTTGGTCACCATATTCGTGCTAAAAATTTCCAAGTTGAAATTAAAGAGAGGGTGTCAATGCAGAATGATTTTTTGTTTGTTTAGGGTCCAAGTTTTAATTCTTTTACGGTGTTCTTTAGACAGAACTGGGGTTCATTTGCAGGAGGTGGGGTAAGAAGGGTTGCAGGCCTTATCTTCTTGCATTTGTTTTTTTTTTCTGGTCTGTGTGAGAGAATTGGCCAGACGGCATTGAGTAATATGGTTGGAATGATGAGAGAGCTGCTGTCTAGTTTCTTTGGAGCAGAAAGGCCCAGGTTAAATGAGTCTCTAGTGAATGTGTTTATATGAATTCAAGGAGGGTAAATGATTGTTGACATGAGAGTAGCTGTAACGACATTCATAATTATATGGAACTTGTAAAGCTATTTTGGTTTGATGCCTTACCTTGTGACTGGAAGATTTTGACATCCTTATGGAGAAAGGATTAAAAAGTAACAATCTCTCTCAGTGCAGAGAATAAATAATAACTTCATGTCTAAAGATATCTTAATTTGCTCAAAAAAAAAAAAAAAAGCCTAACCCAAACTGTTTGACCAGAAAGACTTTTCAGAACTTAGTAAAGCAGCTGGAAGACTCCTGGGGTTCAGGACGGTGTTTCAGCTTGAGTGACTCAGTGTCTATTTGGACATCATAGCTCCTCTGTTTGCCTCCATGAAAGCTGTAGCTGTTGGGGAAGGTAGAAGAGTGGAGTGCCATGCAAGAGGAAGAGTGATCTGTTTGGGCCTGTTATCTCCAGTGTTACCCAGACCCTTTCTCTGCGTATGTTCTAAGGTCTGTCCCAGTGACTGAGGAAGTGTTTCAGATTGTCTATCACTGTTGTTATGTTGATTAGCACGCAGATGATTTTCTTTGTGATCTCATTTGTCTAACATTTTGTTGCAAGAGTTAATCCTGGGATACATACTACATCCTTCTCGTTCATGCCATGGAACAGCTAATGAAATGCCAGAGGACGTCGACCATTTATAAAATGGAGCTTCAGTTGTGCCTTGGTCTGAAGTGACTTGGAGTTTTATTTTCATTCATTCATTCATTCAGCATTTATTGAGCATCTGCGTGCCAGGTCCTGAAATAGGGAGTGGATATAAATCTGTGGTTTCTGTTTAGAATGAGCTTCCCTCCTTGGCTATGAACTACTTAATAAGTGATACAATCTGACTGCTTTTTAATGTGCCTAATCCTTTTTCTGTTAATCTATTTGGTTTTCATCCGAGAATACTAACAAGTGCTCAATTAATAAACTCGTATTTAAGATGAAGATTGAAATTCTGGTTATAATTCAGCAACCATGCAATACTTTAATAAAAGGCATTTAACCCCAAGTTCTGAGCAACCTTTCCTCCAGGAATAGGAAATTAGAACTTGCTGGGATTCTTCCTGAAAGAAACCCCAGGGAAGAGTTGCTTGGTTTGGAAAGATATGGGCTAACTGCTTGGCAGAGCTCACAAATGGTTGGATATGGCGAATTGTGCTATAGATGGGTGGCCGGAACCATGAGAGTGATGGAACGAAACCTCTCAAGTGAAAGTTTAATCTGTTTATCTTTTGAGGTAGTATTACGTTTGAGAAAGCCCAGAGTTATTTTAGGGGAGGTGGAGGAGGGGAAAGGGAATTCAATGAGGGGGATATTTTAAGTCTGAGAACCCTGATGGTACCCTTGTTTATGGATTCAGCTAATGGTTTGCAGATTGTTACAACCAAGGAATCCTGGAAATTACCTGACATAATCTCCTTAGAGTTGATGTAATACATAGAGTTAAGAATGTTGTAGAATTTTGTATATCAGTATACATAGGCCTGGCATGAATTACATTAAATTCAAGAAAAAAGTTTAGTACCTGGTCTCTTGAGGTGGCTCATATGAGGCTTCCCTTATCGGTAGAGCAATACCTAAAATTTTAATCCAGTTTCATGTATTGTTTAAGCATGTTAAAAATAATTTTTTGGACATGGAGGATTCGACCATCCCTTCTGCGGTTTCAGTCTGCTCCAGTGCATTGTATTGAGTGTGAATGCAGACACAAGGTACACCTAGGTAACCAGGTGTATGGTTAGTGGTAACAGGACATGGAGCAAATGTTGAGCCTATAGGCCTCAGTTTCCCTGTCCCCGAAACAAAAGTTTATATTACTTATGTTTGGTTAGTTTTGAAATTCTTTTCCTTAATTCTGTTTAGATTGTTGATCCTAACCCAAATCAAATATTAGTTTTGTCGAATAGAATTTTGTGCGTCATTCTGGTGCCTGGGTAGTTCAAGTGCCTCTCGACGACTGCGTTCTAAAACTTTATCCACGTCTGAGCTCCTTTTTCAAAGCATGCAAGAGTGGCCGGGAGGAGGCCCCTCCACGTTCATTCCTGTTCTTCCTTTTAGTTATTCGGTGATATAATTCCACTAAATCGTATCCCCAAGAGGTGTTCCCGTCAACAATACAGAAGCTTTCTACAGTTTCATTCATGGTTGAATAAAATATTCCCTTTTATGTTTAAAAAAAATGAAAACATTCCAGGTCTTGCTGAAAGTGTTTCTTCATCCAAGCTGAAAGATGTACCGGGGGTGTTATGTCTCGTTTTGGAGAGCTTTTGCGGCAGATTTATGTCTGGAGTGTTTTGTCTCTCTTTATTTGTATCTGTTTAGTCTGAAATTAATAAAGAGCTTTTCTTGCAAGCCATGAGGATAATTAATACAGGTTTCTCCCCTGTGGCGGTTTTTGTCAGCCACTGCATGGAAGAAGAAAGTAAAAGAATATTTTTACTTCAAGCTCAATTCTTACATCTTTACTGGTAAGCTAGGGAACTTCGAGGAAAAGAAAAAGACAGAACATCCTTTATATGTGTGTGTGTATGTGTGTGTGTGTACATACAATAATAAAGTTTATGTCATAAACACTAACAGTTTTCTGGCTTTTGTAAATCAAATTCTTTTACCAGCTCTAAAAGTGTTTTTTGTTCTTTGTATCCACATTCATAGTCATGGACTCTATGTATATATTTAATATTGCTGAGTGACCTTTTTGGTTTGCACTTACTTTTCATTTTTCCCTTTTTTTAACCAAAAGGGATAGGAAATTAAATATAAATCCTCTATGCACAATTGAAAGAGTAATTATGATTTACTTTTTACTTGAGCTTTTATTTAAAGACATTTTTATTTTTAAAACACTTGAAAAAACATCATCTAAGGATCCACTTATGTTGGGCCATTAAAAATTTTATTTTTTTTTATTTTTTAAAGATTGGCACCTGAGCTAACAACTGTTGCCAATCTTTTCTTTTTTTCTTCTTCTTCTCCCCAGAGCCCCCAGTACATAGTTGTATGTTCTGGTTGTAGGTCCTTTGAGTTCTCTACGTGGGACGCCACATCAGCATGGCCTGCTGAGCAGTGCTAGGTCGGTGCCCAGGATCCCAATGGGCAAAACCCCAGGCTGCCGAAGCAGAGCCTGCGAACTTAACCACTGAGCCATGGGGCCAGCCCTAAAGAAAGATTTTTGTATACTATAAGATTAATTTCTTTGACAGTCTATTTCCACAATCCCAGATTTCTTCGTTTCTCTCCTCTCCACTTTCTATTACCTGATGCCACAATCATCAATAATTGGTGTTAGGAAGTCTTTCTTTCTTTCTTTTTTTTTTTTTTGTGAAAACTTTTAAGATTTAGTTTCTTAGTAACTTCCAAATATACAGTACAGCATTATTAACTATAGTCACCATGCTGTACATTACATCCCATGATTTATTTATTTTATAACTGGAAGGTTGAACCTTTTGATCCCCTTCACCCATTTTGCCCACTGCCCCATCCCCTACCTCTGGCAACCACTAGCCTGTTCTCTGTATCTATGAACTTGGTGTTTCTTTCTTTTTTTTGTTTTTTAGATTCCCCGTATAACTAAGATCACATGGTATTTGTCTTTCTCTGTTTATTTCACTTAGCATAATGCCCTCAGGTCCATCCATGTTGTTGTAAATGGCAAGATTTCTTTCCTTTTTGTGGCTGAATAATATTTCATTTTTTATATATATATATACACACACCACATTTTCTTTGTGCATTCATCCATTGATGGACACTTAGGTTGTTTCTGTATTCGTAAATAATGCGGCGGTGAACACGGAAGGCCATATATTTTTTCGAGTCAGTTTTTTTGTTTTCTTTATATAAATACCCAGCAGTGGAATTGCTGGATTATATGGTAGTTCTATTTTTAGTTTTTTGTGGACCCTCCATACTGTTTTCCGTGGTGGCTGCACCAGTTTACATTCCCATCAACAGTAAGTTCCCTTTTCTCCATCCTTGCCAACACCTGTTATCTCTTGTGTGATGACAGCCATTCTGACAGGTGTGAGGTGATACCTCCTGGTGGTTTTGATTTGCGTTTCCCCGGTGCCTTTTCATGTACCTGTTGGCCATCTGTGTGTCTTCTTTGGAAAAA